TCCAGACCCTTTTCTGCAGAGCTGCTGCTTTCTTGGAGCGGCGCATGGGATTCTTCCGTCTTAAGTGCAGGACTTTGCACTTGTCCTTGTTGAACCTCTTGAGATTTCTCTTGGCCCAATCCTCAATTTTGTATAGGTCACTCTGAATCCTAGCCCTACCTTCCAGTGCAGTGTTTCCTAACCAATGTGCCATGGTACACTGGTGTGTTGTCAGGCATGTCCAGGTGTGCCACGGTATTTTGGGCTGGAGCCAGTCCCTTTGCTTGATGCTGCTGCTGCTGCGGACACAGACAGATGGGAGTGTGGCTCCAGCTCAAAATGCTGTCCGGTTAGCCGTGCCGCCCCCTGCCCTGCTCTGTGTCCGGTGTGCCACAGTGCTTTTTTATTTAGGTAAGCATGCCATGGGCCGAAAAAGGTTGGGAAACGCTGCTCCAGTATATCTACTATTCCCCCCGTTTTGTGTCATCCGTAAACTTGCTTAGGGTGCAATCCATCCCATTTTGGAGATTGTTAATGAAGATATTGAACAAAACTGGCCCCAGGACTGACTGATCAGTTTAAGATCAAAGCAAAAACACAAACAATTTTATTGGAATGTATATTAATTTGCTATACCATATATCATGTATTAAAAACAGAGCAAACAGGCAAAAATAATGAAAAAGTTTCTTTGGTCTTGTCTTTAGAATTAAATCTACATCTTTCAGATTCATAAAACAAAATCTATCCTCCTTGAGCATGTTAACAACTTAAATGAAAGTTATTTCCACGGCTGAGTTAATATTTCCACATGTGAGTTAATGTTTTTGGCTAGTTAAAAACAGTATGCAGGGCTGTGAAATGGGAGCTACATTATCAGGGCAGCAGAATTGCAAAACAAAAAGGTAGTTTGATCAGTGTAAGGTCAGGACCATTAAAAAGGGTAGAGGGTTGTTAACAACTGTGGAATGAAGAGTTTAGAAGGAGAAGGATTCAGGTCAATTAGGGAGCAAATCCAGGTGAATTTGGGAAGTGGGTGCAACAGAATAGAATGCAGTTTAACAAAGATAAGTGCCATGTGTTGCACCTAGGGAGGAAGAATCATCAACACACCTGTAGCCTGGGAGGTACCACTCTAAGTAGCACAACTGCGGAAAGGAGTCTCGGAGTCGTAGTTGACTCCAAAATGAACATGAATCACCAATGTGATGAAGCAATAAGTAAAGCTAACTGCACTCTTTCTTGCACAAGTAGGTGCATCACAAACAGGTCTAGGGAGGTGATACTTCCCCTCTATGCGGCATTGGTCAGGCCGCAGCTGGAGTACTGCGTCCAGTTTTGGGGGCCGCACTTCAAGAGGGATGTAGATAATCTGGAAAGGGCTCAGAGGAGGGCCACCTGTCTGGTTAAAGGCCTACAGGAAAAAGCCTAAGAGGACCAATTTGAGGGACCTGAAACTCTTCAGCCTCTGCAAGACAAAGCTGAGAGGTGATCTTGTGACCATCTACAAGCTCATCGGGGTGGGGAGGGGACAGCAGGAAATAGGGGATACAATGTTTACCATGGCACCCATTGGAGTAGCTAGAAACAATGGCCACAAACTGAAGGAGAGCAAATTTAGATTGACCATCAGGAAAAAATTCTTTACAGTGAGGGTTGCCAAAATATGGAATATGCTTCCAAGGAAGGTAGTGCTGTCCTCTTCCTTGGAGGTATTTAAGAGGAGATTGGACAAGCACCTAGCTAGGGTCATCTGAACCCGACACCTGGCTGGGGTCATCTGACCCCAGTACTCTTTCCTGCCCAGGGCAGGGGGTCGGACTCGATGATCTAAAAGGTCCCTTCTGACCCTAACAATCTATAACATCTATGAAATTATAATGAGTCACAATGTCAAGTGACTCTCTCCGTGCTGCCTGAATAGAAATGCGTCTGCCACTTCCCGGTACCTGGTTTTAAACTTCGTGTGGAGCTGGAATCAAAGGGTGGTGTCACTGCACCACGTCACCCTGTAGATATGCCACTGTCTTTAATTATTTATTAAGGCCCTGCTCGAGTTAACTGAAGTTTACCTGTTTTGAAGTGAGGCATCAGTTAGTTTTCCCCCCCTATTCCCTGCTGTATGAGGAAGGGACTGACTGCTCAGAAGCAATAGTAACATTTCCCAATGCTGTGCCTCTCTAAGCAACTTGCAGACGTCACTGTTCAAAGGGTTGAGGTGAAGCACTCACCAGTGGTGATGTGGAGATTGGAGAGAGGAGATTCTCGGTGCTTGAATTTTATTTTTTCCTTTGTAAGTCAGACTTGCTTATCTTCTTATAGCTAAAACAAAAAAGGAAACACCAAAATTCCAGTTTTAATTTCCAGAGAATTTTAAACTGTACAAAGATAGTGTATATTTTGTGCAGGAACAAAGTTGAGCTGTGGGGGCTTAGTCTTCCTTGACTTCATCCAAACCTGCCAAATCTTCCATAAGTAGATCATATGCAGGCATACAAATACCAAAATATTAAGTATTTTAATATGTCTCTTTAGTTTTATAGGCCTGGAAAATGCACTCATCTTCACCTCAGAAACATTTCATTTTGAGTAACATACTGCTTTGTGCTGAGCCAAGAGGATTTTTTTCTGTTAATTTTTGTGAAATAAAAATACACATTTGTCTGTAAATTCAAATTCTAAATTCTTACCTTGGTTGTGTTCATAGTTAGTTGCTTGAAGGTGGATACAACACAGCTTTGTACCTTATTTAACTTACTTAGTCAAGGAGTCCACAGTGCATCACCATTTGAATAATTTGGTATTAAAATAAAATTGGTATTTATTATGTGCTTTTTGAAATACATGCAATAAATACATATTTTTTATATTATTAATATTATTACCTTAAATTAAAAAAGACAAAGACATATACTGATGGTGAAAAAAGACAAATTTGAGTTTGTCTATGATGGTAGTTAGAGCAACAGTTCAACTATACATAATGATTATGCGGTGCAAAGAAAGTAAAAACAAAAAAATACTATATCCTTTGTCGAAAGATACTTCAGCAAATGTAGGAGGCTAGATTCAGTAATGGGTGAGAGGCACTTCAGTTTAACAGATGGGCTCATTAAGCAAGTGAAACAGCAAATTAACAAAAATCTTGATGCCTTTTTATTTTTGAAAGGTCAAATGATCCAGGAAAAATAGTTGTCAGATATGCTTGAGAAGCCAGTTAATGAATTAGGAAAATAGCTTTATGTGCACCTGGAGCAAACTATAGAGCAAGATTTCAAAATCAAAAGCAAATATCCCAGCAAGAATTAGAAAAGCAGCTGTCAGAGATTGTGGGGGGTGGGGGAGACCCATAGCCACAAGTAGAAACTCTGAAGAATGTTAGTTTCTTTCAGGCACTGGGTAACTTTTAAAATTAAATACCCAGTGTGTGTATGACATTTCTGTAGCTGTGTACTTATGAGTTCATCTATCTTTTAGGGCACATAAGTCAGACCCAGTGGAAGCTGCGTTAGTGATGATAAAAGATACGGGTGTCTAAGTTGAGTGGGATATATTTATTTCAAAGAAAAGCGTGCTGTCTAGGATTTTCTCATCTAAAGATTCAGTTCCTCTGAGAAGCAATTGAGGCTCTTGAAGGCTTTTGTTTTAGTGAAAACTATGATTGAAGGGGCAAGCCTTCTGAGAAAGTCTTGTATAACTTGTATTACAAAATGTAAAGGTTAACTTCAAAGTTAAATTGAAAACTGAACTACTCAAACATTCAACCTTTATTCCATTGTCACATTTTTTTTCATGGACAAACATCAAACAAAAACTTCACTAATGTACACACATCTGTCAATATATATTACTCTAGTTGAGGTTTTGTATTTGAGTGGTTTAGAAGAATTGGGTATACGTATATTGCAGTTGTAAGCTGGAACTGTTAGTTATCTTTCGTTTGCTGCAAGGTAAGAATGAATGCATGGGCAGTTGCACAGAATAGGCCACATGCTATAAATCCCTGTTCTTGTTTACCCCAGGTAACTTGTCTGTGCACAGCATAGCTTTAAACAAAGCATTGGGTTGTTTTGTTACCTTGCAGATTGTAGAGGAAGTAAAAGCATGCTGTGAGCAGCTTGGAGTTATAGAAACAAGACAAATGGATAAAAGACTTAAAATTGTTTTGGTATTTGAACGTCATTGTATATTTTACTGTTAAGATTTTATGCAGTAACTGAAACAAAGGGCATTGGTACATGTGCTCCAGAGTGGGGAGGGGGTGCTTTAATTAGAGTGCCTCAGAGAACTGCTCTAATTAAAGCACCCACAGCGTCATGTATTCAGTGTCCTGCAGTTCAAAACGGTGGCGGGGGCACTTGAACTAAAGCTTTTTCAATGAGTTTTAGTTCAAGCATCCCTGCCACCATTTTGAAGCCTGGGGACACTGAATAGACATGATGTGGAGTCTGCTAGAGCATGTTAATTAGCATGTTCCAGCAGACTCAGTTAATCTAGTCTCAGCTGATGCGCTAATTAGCACGCATTGGAGCAGATGTTCAGCATGTGTATAGGGTGCTCAAATACAGCAAGTGCAATTTGCCTAACCTGTATCTGTTAGACCCATTATGTATTTGAAAGCTTAACTTTTAACATTTTTACGATTTGTCATTTTTAATTACTAACTTCATAAAGAAATTTTATAACAACATTTTTTCATCTGAAAGCCACTTGAGGTTCTCTAAAGTGCTATAGGAAACCAGAGAAGCTAGTGCAACAATGAGACCTGGACCACAAGTGGAACAAAGTTAGCAATGTCTATTATTTGTCAACATATTTAATAGCAATTTTAAATTATTATTTGATTAGTGCAATGGTTCCTGTATGACATATGATCATTTGGTTTATTTAATGTTTCATGTTTGCATTGAAATAGTTTGTGTATACTTTCCAACCTAATTTGCTTTCCAGTAGGATGGAGGATCTCTCTACAAATGTAAATTTCCAAATTAACTTACTTTCTGGTACACTGTTTGCACAGCATGATTCTTGGTGGACTAAATGAAGGAAATAATTATTGTGGTAATACCATGACAGCAGCCTACCCATTATCAAGTGGCAAGTTAGCTGTGATGCTTAAGGGTGATGGAAGGGTTATGTTCTGAGCATGGCACTGTGTTGAAGCTCCAGCTATCAGAATGGAGATATCTGCAGATAAAACATCTGTAGAAGAAATTGTCTTTTAAAGTCTACACATTTTTCGTCACATGTAAGTAGGAGTGGGTGATTTCTCTGTGTGCACATCTACTTGAGAAGAGACTCTGCTTCTATGGTTATGCTGGTGTAATTGTGTTGTTTGAGCTCACCAGTGAAGATGCAGAGTATGCCAACAGAAAGAGTATTTTCTGCTGGCATAGCAATTCCACCTCTGAATGACATTGTGAAGCTGATAAAAAATACCCTTTTGTTGACATCAGAAGTTTTTCTGATAGCTATGCTGTCAAGCAATGTGAACTTTTTTTCATATGCCTAGCTGGTATAGTTATGCTGGCAAAATGGTATAGGGTAGACCTGGTTCTCTCTGTCTCAGGGTGAGAGACTAGTGAGGAACCTCCACAAGCAAATTATTTCTCTCCCTCCCATACATTTCCAAGGGGCATGTTGAGTATAATGAGGGGTGTCTTGAGTTTAAAGAGATTGAAAACCACCTGGAGGCTATAAGGGGCTGGGAACGGGCCCATAGAATAACAGTTCTGAATTTGGAGACAGTCATGATTCTGCCATGAGAACATATGTCAGAACGTATGTCAGATACATGGGTAAAAATACAGTGTCTTGTCTATCACTTTAGTGGAATAAATAACATGACTTCAATATGGATACCATGTCCTAGTGTAGTGTAGGAAACTGAGGTCAAAATTAGGAGACACCTTCAGCATGGCTTCAACCACTTATTTCTGGGGTTGGTGGAACAGTAGGTAGGATGCACTCGGTATTTGCAGGAGTGCCAGGAAAGTGCTGTAATCCATAACCCTGAAAAACTACTAGGTAAAGAAGGAAAAATGTAACTTTTAAAAGGAATTAAATACAGAATTTAAAAGACTTTTTATTCCTAGTTATTAGAATATGCAAAATGGTGACTTGTTTTGCAACAGTCAAAAAACCCTATGTACAGGTAGGTTTCCTAAAGGGTTTTAAAACTAAATTATCACCTGCAGCTGCCTTAAGTAGCAGAGTTAATTCCAACCCACCCTCTGATTTTCTGCAGAAGAAGTTGAAGAAGAGTCTGAAACTGCAAATGAACCTGATCTGACTGATAAACAGAAACATCAGTTGAAACACCGAGAACTCTTTCTTTCGCGCCAGTATGAGTCCCTTCCTGCAACACACATCAGGTAAGAAACTTTCTTCATAAGCTACAGATTGTGGGAGTACCCGGTTAATCGCACTAAAAGCTATTTGCATGCTCCCTCAGTGGACTGCAAAAGGGAGCAATTGCTGCCACTCTCAGCTGGTCTGTATTCCCACCCATTAATTCCATCATTCCTAGATTCTTCGTGGCTTTTCTTTCAAAGGAAAAAGAGTCTAACCAAGGGTCATGAACAAATGAAGCTGCGACCTGCTGATCAAAACAATAGTTGCTGCTAGAGTGCAGGGGCACTGCAATTTATATTCCTCTTCTGGGAAGTAGTTTTAATTTTTTATTTTTTTTTTGGCACTGCCAGGGTCTGCCTGTTCTACTCCAACAACAGGTAGTTCAGGGAAAAAAATCAAAGCCTTGATGGTCAGGATTGCCTATAAGACAATGCAAACATTTTAAAAATAAAATGACTTTGGGCTGTTTGTTTAAATTTAAAAGAAGCAGTGGTTGGATCTTCGTCCATCATATTCTCAGAGGTCGTTTTAAAATCTAAGCTATTTTTAAAACTTGTATCTTAGGGGTTTAAATTTGACTCATTAATGTGCTTTTACCTATCCCTCCACATATCTTAAATTCCTCTGCTGAGACAAGCTGGGTAAAACTGAGAAGACAGTTGTAGTTGATTTCCCTCTGGTAAACAATAGAGGCATGGCTGTCTTTTCCCGCTAGTGCAAGGAACTATTTGGAAGAAGTGAGAGAAAAAGATGAGTAGAATTGCCTTTTACTTCTGCTTTTGATTTTGCTTTAGTATTTGAATATTTTTTAGGCAGTGCCATTAGCCAAATTACATACGTTGCCATACCTCCCATCACTCTGCCCTTCAATACTAACAATCTAAAGTTATATGCAGTTTCAGATGGTTTAATGTGCACTGCATTTGTTTTATATTGGCTCTCAAATTTCTAGTTAGTTTTTTAAATGATGTAGCTTATTCTTTGCTTTTGTGATACCTATTTCCCTTCCATGGCTTCAGTTTACATTTTTTTCTTAACTGTGCTGTATAGTGGCACAATGAAGAGGGAGAACGATATCTTCCCTTCCCCCAGTGTGTCTTTAGGAGTCACCTTAGGCCCAGGATTGGAAACTCAGGAAATGCATTATACAAGAAAATCACAGTCACTTTGGCATTGCTATGGAACACAGATAAGGGGGTTTGCGTGTTTCTGCTGTTTTCCTAACAGGTTGGACTTCTTTTTAAGCATAACTTTATCTCTGAATTTTCTTGATTTATAATGCTTGGTTTGTTTGTGAAATAATTATAATATTGATGTATCTTTTTTTGCTCTTAAATTTTCTGAAATGTACCTTTTATCTAAATTCTGCTCTAACCATTTTTGAGACATACGTTATGCCTAATTTTTTTCCTTCTTAAAATGCAAATGATTTTTAGGAACAGATTTGGACAATTACAAGCTTTGGACCCTGATCTCAGTGATACCAAGGGTCTGTGTACAATGTTGTTTGCCTTGGATTAAGTGTAAATTTAAGTTGTAGTCAAGGTAGAGGAGTTAGCAGTAACATAAAACCAGTATAAGCAAAGGGAGAATCAGGCCCATAGAGTTTTTTATTTTTTCTGTATCTGCCTGGTCTTAGATTAATTCCTGTCTTTCTTTTACTCTCTACTTTTTAGGTTTGAACAAGTGAATATAGTTCAGTTCCCTTCGGTGAGTCAGGATCTAAGGCAGTGATTCTCAATCAGGGTGCCATGGCACCCTGGGGTGCTTTGAGTCACTTTCAGTAGTGCTGAGGAGTGCCATGTAATGTTAGCACTTCTACTCTGCTTACAGATGAAAAAAATACAAGAAGAAAAAACAGTGCTTTACTTTAAACTCCGTGCACTCCTGGGCTGAGCCCATCACATGCCCAGAAGGGGCATCACATTAATTGGACCCAGCTCACCCAACGTCTGTATGGATTGGGTGCTTTAGTAGGGTTTTTTGGGGGCTTTTATCTAACAAGCTATTAGATAAAAGTGAATCAGCTATTATATAAAAGTGCCAAAAAGCCCCACTGAAGTACCTGATCTATACAGACGTTGTGGAGCTGGGTCAAACTAATGCACTGCTTCTTCTGGTAAAGCGCATTTCCCCCCTCCCCCACCACATCTGTCAGTGCCCTTAGATGTGCAAGCATGATTCACAAGATAAACCCAAAGATTTTAAATAAGAATCCATAGTGTAAAAAATATTCTGACCTATCATTGACATTGTGGCTAAGTACATACAGTCAAAAAGCCTAAGTCTGAATCACTTCAATATTTGCAGGTTTCTTTAAGCTGTGTAGATTGAACCAGTAATGAAGTTGAACTGATGTTCACTTTTGAATCTGGAAAGGCAGCCAGATGCCTTCAGTGGGCCAGACCAGTAGCTGCGGGGTGCTAGAGCATGCCTCCCAGCCTGCTGGCCAGTGCGCACCCAAATGCAGCCGAGTGGGGCCCATCCCTGTTTGGCTGCTCAGCACATGCCCCCCAAGCTCTTGCTGTTTCCCCACAGAGGGGAGTAGTTCCTCCAGCCCAGCTAGTGCTGGGCATCAGCCCATGTGGGAGATCCCCATGCCTCACTGGGGGTTCCCCTGCTTGGGCAGGGTCCCCTGAGCTTTGCCAGAGAGGGAATTTTCCGCTCCCAGCCCTCAGCAGTCTCATACTGGCTTAGCGCCCCCTCCCCCACATATGTGTGTGTGTGGTGGGGGGGCAGTGCTTCCATCATCCCACATGGAGAGATCCTTGCGGCTCAGCAGGGGATTCTTCTACCCTGGGCAGGGTCCCCCGAAGCTTGCTACTGGTGCAGAGGGGACTTTCCCCTCTCCCATCCCTCACCATGGTTTGCTGCTGGCTTGGCCCCGCTTCCTCCAATTTGGGGCTGAGCTGGTGCCTGCATCAGTCCACATGGAGGGATCCCTGAGCCTCAGCCCAGGATGCCTTGTGCCTCCCTCCCTCTTCCTGCTCTCCCGCAGCGTGGGCAGGCTAACCTTGGCCCAAGCTGTCTGCTTCAGCTGAACAGGGCCAGCCACACCCTTAGGCTGTCACAGAGCAGAGGCAGCAAAGCATCTGTTCTGCAGCCCTGGTCCTGCCTGCACCCTGGTGGGGCGGGGGGCACTGCCCTCCTCCCCAGCCCCACCCCAGATCCCTGGTGTGCCAGGGTTCCCCCTGGGCTCACGCAACTCACTGACATACAGGTGGTGAGGGGGAGAAGCAGTCTCTCCAGCCTGGGGTGGCCCAGATCCTGTGCCTCAGTGGGATTTGCCTGGCCCTAGCCAGGGTCCCCTGATCCCTGCTGCCTGTGCAGAGAAGGAATTCCCACCTCCCACTCCCTAGCATTGTCTGTTGCTGGTTTGGCTGTGGGTAGGAGCAACTTGTCCGTTACTCCCTCCAGGCCCCCTGTGCACCTGCAGGGGCAGGGCTAAGCTGGCACTGGACTGAGCTGAAGGGTAGGAGGGAGGGGGAAATTCCTGCTCTTCAGGCAGGGATCAGGGGACCCTGCCTGAGGTGGAGAACCCCTGCTGAGGTGCTGGGATCCCCGCCATGTGGGTTGATGCTGGATGCCGGCTCGGCCCTGGGCTGGAGGAACTATTTCCACTGCACCTGTAGGGGTGGGGCTAAGTCAGTGCCAGACTCTGCTGGGGGGTAGGAAGGGCGAATGTCCCCTTTGCACTGGCAGGAGGGCTCAGGAGATCCTGTCTGGGGGTGGGGAAACCCCATTGAGGCACAGGACCTGGCTATCCCCCCGCCGCCCCTCTTCCCTCCCGTGTGTCAGTGAGTTGCATGAGCCCAAGGAGAAACCCTTGCACACCAGGGATCTGGGGCAGTCAGGGCTCGATTGGTGGGCTCTGTTGCCCTGCCTTCCTCCCCTCTTCCTGCCCCAGCAGGGTGCAGGCAGGAACAGGGCTGGGGCTGGGGCTGGGGCTGGCCCTGCTTGGCTGGAGCAGACAGTTTGGGCCAAGGCTAGTCTACCCACCTTGCAGGTGAGGGGGTGAAGGGAGGTTTTGGGGAGGCACAAAGCATCCTGGGATGCTGGGGGACTGTGAATTAACTTGAATCTGGAGGGGATCTGGGACAGAAGGTCCATAGACTGGTTTAATCTAAATCGGTTAAGTTTGATACTACATTCATCCAGGTTGATCTTAAACTGGTTTTGACCATTTTGAAACTGGTTTGTGCGCACTGAACTTCTGTTGTGTTACAGATTTAAATCAGTTTCTGATCACTTAAACCAGTTTATGTGTAATGTCTGTCCTTAGTGAAAGAGTTCTGTGCTGCAAAAGACTGGCTCTCTCATTTTTTCAGTAGTCAAAAAATGAGTGAAAACTAAGAGCTGGCATTTTCCAAGGAGTGCCTTGAGTTGACAACCACTGGTCTAGGGATCCTGAAGAGATTTACTTACGGAAGGACTAGCCATTTAGGTAGTCTGTTAAACTTAGCTTGTCTGTTAAACAAGACGTATCTTGGACTAACTCAGCCCTTTCATTCTTTCTGTGGTCCTAAACTCTAGTATGAGTCTGGTAATGTTGTGAACCTCAGGGCACTGGAAAAGGTGCAGTTATTTCTAGCTGCCTGTTGGTTTAGACTAGTTAACCATGTCCGACTATTTATTTATTAAGTGCTCAGCATGCTTTTAATACAGTGTAGGAAGATGTTTAGATATCTATCCCTTTTTCAAACTGGCTATTTTTCAGTAGCCAACTATAATTGTGTGAATGAATATGTCCTGTTTTCCCTATGTGGAATGGATTGGCTTAGATTAACTTTATACTGAAAAGAAAATTTGCTCTGTAGAATTGGGACATATGCAATGTTTTATTATGTTCCGGTAAGTTATAGATACTGTATTACAGCAGTTTTGGTCAGAGCATTGCTGATGCTGTAAATACTGTAATGAAATTTAGAAAGGTGGGAAGTAACTTAATTGTTTTTTGTTTTGTTGCTTTATTGGTAACTTGTTCCCAAGGTTTGTATAAGTTTCTCTAATAATTTTAGTC